CACTCCAACCCAGGAGGCTTGGGACCACTTCGCACAACTCTTACGGACGAAGTACCAGGTAGACTGGCACCGGGCAACCAAGAAGAGATCAAAGAAGACCCGGGCCCACAAAGAAGCAGGCAATCATAGACAAATTTGTCAAGGACCGGGTCGGGACGAGTAAGCTGGGCAACATAGAAGGTGCCTCCCCACGAGACTGGTATGGAAGTTGCAGGAAGAACGACAAAGAGGATCTAGCTTGACGGCCCCTGCCTTGCTAGACGCAGCGCGTTCACATGATAGTACGGTTCACATAAACACAGCCTAGGTGGCGCAGAAGGGTGAGCCAGAAGCAGGGAGGAGGACAGAGATTAGAAAGATTGGCCGGAAGCCCAGAGGAGAACAGAGACAAGAACATCGACTTCTGTTTGGCTCTTACTAGGTCACGGATTAAGCTGGGGCTTAGGGCGTAGACTTCTAAGGGCAACTCAGTTTCTTCCTTTGTTGGTGCTGATTTGCCCTGTGTTGATTCGGTTGAAGTTGCAGACATAGGGACGTTGGACCCGGTTTCCAGCTCAAAGCCAATCCTGGGTAATGGCCCCAGCATTTTCCAGGTTGAGATGTTGAGGAATTCCCGGCCTCAGTGTTTTTACTGCAACCTTCTTTTCAAAAAAAAAAACAAAAAAAAGGGCCTCACTCCACTACTCACCGAATGTGCAACATAGCGACTGTATCTTCACCGAAAAAGGGGCAACACATATGCTTGTCATTATTTTTTGTCCTTCTCGCATTTGGTGAGAGGCAAAGCGAGGCCCAATGACGGGAAAAAAAAGTTACTGTTTGACTTTTCTATGGTCTTCAAGCGCCCTAAGACAACTTCAGTTTGTCATCATCAACATATTTAGCGCCATTTGCTTTTCTATTCAGAGGAAGACTGCTACAGTCATTCAAACCCAGCCCATGTGGCTGAATGGTACACCCATCGAGACTGTAGATAAACAGACCCGAGTTCAAATCAAGCCGGAATCAGATGAATAAAATAACTATGAATTACCTGACGCGGTCAGTTCGGTGACGATACTCCAAGGCCATGGCCGTAAGGGTTATCAAAAGGGAAAAAGAATACAGTCATTCAAAAAGTGCAAAAAGAAGGAAACCGGATGAAAAAGGAAAGAACGTTTTCTTTTTCTTCTAGAACGGACACATCACCTCATTATTACACAGCACATGACGCTCCCCACAAATACGATTGCAGCCATCAAATAGGTGGTCCCTTCATCAGGGCATGGGCTCTTATCCCTAGCTTGGGGCCTCGGCCCACTAGTCGTGTCGAGTTTCCTGGACGCCCAAATCTGCACATGTTTGTGGATATGTGAGGTTGAGAAAACTCAACGGATTTTCTGCACATCTCCACAAACATGTCCACATTCGGGTGTTGAGGGAATGCAACACCACTAGTGGGACGAGGCCCCTGATGAAGACCGAGCTCTCCTGTGTCATTAAAAAAAAAAAAAAAAAGGAAAAAGAAAGAGGCTGGGGTTTGCTCCCACTTACCTGGATCCTTCGTTTCAGATGTTGATTCCGAAAATCGACAGCCAGGGGTGAAGAACCCAGCGTGAGTCGGATCGGACCCGGGGAAACCTTGCCGCATTCCCAAAATGTACCCAGCTGAGATTATGACCAGATACTGGCCGGAAGGCCAGACTTCAAAAAAGGAACCAAAGCCTAACTACCAGAGAAGGCTAATATGATCCCCCAAATCTACAAGCGATTCTCACTTAGGGCCCACAGAAAACACAGACAGGCATGGGATAGAGGCCTTGCACAAGGGCCTTAAATCGGCTGTGGGACTTGATAATAAAGAGCCTTACCTAAATAACGCACAAGAAAAGGGCCAAGGGGAGAGAAGAACCCAAGGGGGACCCAACAAACAAGTGACCGAGGACAAGAAACAGCCTTCTACGTTTGAAGTTTGAACGTCATAGGTTGAGATCCTGTAGGATGCTGAATTTCTTCGGGGTAAGACGAAAAGGAAATAAGGGGGGGAGAAAGAAGCGAAGAAACAGAGAGAGGAAAAAAACTGCACATCCACAGAAACGGCTGCTGCCACCCAATAGTCACAGGTTCAAAACCTCGACCTCTACTCACTCACTGAATAGTCAAGGCGTCACCACCAACTTCCCCGCCAACATTCCAGCTGCCGCTTCCCGTCGCCTAAGTGTGTAGAAACCAGCACTGTCTGTGTGAGCTATTTCCTTTCCCCCATCCTTGAGGTGCCTGTCAGCTAAGATCGTGGTGTGACATGCAGCTTTGATTTCCCTCTCCATAGCTGCACCCAAGGACCGTTGTCCGCAAAAGAGGACATGGTTCCAATCACTCCAAATCACCCACATGGGCTGGCTATGGTGCGACGTGCAGCCTTGATTCCCCTCCCCATGGCTGCATCCGCGAAAGAGGGCAAGGTTCCAATCACCCCAGATCTCCCACATGGGGCTGACCTGGCTGCTTGTGCGCAATCCATCGTGACCACCCTTCCAGTGGAAAGGCAGCTACTCCACACCACGTGATGCTGAAGCTTCTGTGTGGCATGAGTTCCCCCCATGCTCTATTTTGTTTGAGTCTTGTGAGGCGTTTATGTACTCTAGTTTTCCATATTTTATTTCTGGTCCATCGTGGTTTTGCAACTGCGCAACTGCGCTTTTGGTTTTGGGACTTGCACGTAGTTGCAAGTAGGACTTCCAAGGAATCTTGATAGACTGCGCTTCTTAGTGAGCACGCGCATTTGTTGATGTGACTGGGAGTCGTCCCGCATCCTTGCACTTGAAGGATAGAGGCACCCACATTCACGCCTGACACACATTTGTGTGCATCTGACATGCTTTCTTTCTTCATCTCTTTGCATTTGCAAACGCGCACACATATTTTCCACCGACTTCCATCTCCTTCTTTGAGCCCTCCTTCCCCATCATTCCCAATGCTCAAGGTAACTGTTTTCCGTGCTTGCTCGGACTGTTTCTTTCCCCTTCGCACATTCTTTCCTCTTCATTTCCCACTCCAATCTGATTGGTCAGCAAGACTTGCATGCTAGACAGATGAATGGAGTTGGGTTGCGTTCCCCAGCCGTAGTTTGATCATGCAAGTCTGACTATTCCCCCTTCTACTTGCTCCTATCTTCTTTCTTCCATCACAATTATAAATCTGATCGCCACTATTCTCTCTCTCTCTCTCTCTCTCTCTCTCTCTCTCTCTCTCTCTCTCTCTCTCTCTCTCTCTCT